ACAAATGACCATTACTCTACACAAATGACCATTACTCTACACAAATGACCATTACTCTACACAAATGACCATTACTCTACACAAATGTCCATTACTCTACACAAATGTCTACACAAATGACCATTACTCAACAAAAATGACCATTACTCAACACAAATGACCATTACTCAACACAAATGACCATTACTCAACACAAATGACCATTACTCTACACAAATGACCATTACTCTACACAAATGTCCATTACTCTACACAAATGTCTACACAAATGACCATTACTCAACACAAATGACCATTACTCAACACAAATGACCATTACTCAACACAAATGACCATTACTCAACACAAATGACCATTACTCAACACAAATGACCATTACTCTACACAAATGACCATTACTCTACACAAATGTCTACACAAATGACCATTACTCTACACAAATGACCATTACTCTACACAAATGACCATTACTCAACACAAAATGCAGATTTTTTAAAGTGTTGTACATCAGTTTGTTGGAAATTTTACACAGAATGCACACAACTACAAAACCCCTCTTTACAAAGTCACAGAAATATTTTTTGGGTACTTCTAGAGGTTCAGGGTGATAAAAAATCCCCCGCAAGGATAACCCGAAATGGACAAAATGGGCTATATCTTTGCTGCTAATGGTCATATTTAGACAAATCATACATCATTCTCTTTTTTCACTGTTTATAATTATTAAAGAGTTAAGCCAATAAAGTAATAATTTCCAATTTTTATGGCCATTCTTAAGATTTCAAAACGTATTTTTAGTGTTTTTCTAACCGTTAAACGGATTCCGTAAAAAAAAAACAACAACCTCTTAATGACCGCCATAAGTCAGCTCCCTATCCTTCTTTTACAAAGTATTGTAACATACATTTGTGTGAAGCTATATTTTATGCTTTCAAGTGCATAAAAGAGCTTATAAATTCAAGAAAAATGTTCTTCGGAGACCTAGTTGTAGACCCACTGGAACATTTAATAAACTGCGGAATGATGAAAAGGAAAAAAATAAGTCATTTTATGATCTTCACACAAGTTGCACTTGCAATTTTTTGGACAAATTATATTTATAGTCTACCTCATTCTATTATTTTTTATGTTTCTTCACTATTCATTACATTTTGAGTTATTATCAACTAGCAATTTTTATTGATGAGCATATTTTAAAAAAAATATTGAGTCAGACTCATTGGCCATAAATTATATTTTTTTAAATGGCACAATTTGATCATGTAAATGTAAAAATATCCAGAAAATAACAACATTAAATTATTAGGTACTGAAAGTGAAAGACTGAGCAGAGGCTCAGATAAACTCTGTTCTCTAATACTATACTACTAACAAGTAAGTTTGCGCAAAACTGATTTAAGAAAAAGGTTGTCTCATAAAAGCAATTGTTACTACACAAATGACCATTACTCTACACAAATGACCATTACTCTACACAAATGACCGTTACTCTACACAAATGACCATTACTCTACACAAATGACCGTTACTCTAAATATATAGCTAGGTGCTGAATCTAACATCAATTAGAACTGTGCAATTCAAGCTTTATTTCAATTCCAAAGCCCAAAGGCATAAATAGTTAGATATGCTGGCTTTTTTACTGTTTCTAGCCTACTACTGCTGAATTCTAGATTTATCTATCATTTGCACTATTCAAGAGCCAGATATGGTAAAATAAAAGCAAAACTGTGAATTCTTTTGTCTGTCTGTTCATAATTTCATAGCCGCACGTATTATTATTATCCGGAGAAACAAGTAAAGCGCGAATAACTGCGATGCCGGCGCAATACGTTATCACAGTGTGCAGGGGAGAGCGGGGGCGCCGGGTCGCTGACCGGCCGATTCGGCGTTTCGGCTTTTTGTATGCATTTTTACAGGAAGCGCCGTAGCGTTGTGCGAAGTTCAACCTAAACAAGTCGGGTGTCAGAAGAAACTAGAATGGATAATCTATAACTTCTGAAAGATTCATAAATATACAGCCAGTAGTTTTCATTTTATCGCGTTGTAAAAACTGCCTTGTTTTCAGATGCAAATATTTCCAGTTCTACTGAACCGATTTTCACGCGAAGACCGCCATTTTGAAGACCTTTCATTTCTGTTTAAAAAGATGTATCGGGAGTGGTAGTGCAATTCGCAAAACGAAACAAAACTGTGAGTTGTTTAGACCCACCGCAGCGCGAGGCTTCACGGCCGGTCACAAAAATCTACGGGGCGTACCGCGGCCGATTCGCCCTGCCGCGAGCGCGTTCACTAAACTGCCTACTTAGACACCTTTGCCTTTGCAAAAGATCATTTTTTAAAACGAAGTGACTTTCTCCGAACGTTGGGGAAAATAAACTTGAACTCTATTTCTCCAAACAGTTTCTGTCCTCGAGATTTTTTAGTTATTTGAGATATTTCGGGGTCATCTTTCATTCTGCAAGGACAGGGAGGAAGCATATTTTGCATCGAATTCAATTTCAAGAGCTAGAGATTTTTAAATGTCTGAATTTTCTGATACTTTAATTACAGCAACGTTCCCGGACAAACTTCATTTCAAAATGTCTTCAAAAGGTAGTGCGTGAAAACAAGACTGCTCGACTTTGGCAGTAACCTATTTTGTATGAAGTCACCCCTAAAGCAAAAACTAAAATCCTTCATGTAAACACCCAAAAAATCCCTCCACTCCCCCCCCCGACCATTACTCTACA